TAAAAGTGCTCTTGCTCATTCACCCAGGTAGGGCCTAAAAACAATAAAAATAACTTATTTTGGATTAAGGTATTCTAGACTAGGTACAGACATTAAGTTTATTGTACAGTAACAAAGTGCTCTCTAGCCATAACAAAACAGATGATCAGGGCACATAGAACACTGTAAAAATGGTAGATAGCACTTTAAGGTAACCCTGGATGGATATGGCACATGACCTGGTGCCATGCATGGGCACACAAAGCCCTCCAGCCCTACTCATCTGGGAAGGGCTTCCAGTTCATAAGGGTGAAGAGGTAGTTGGCTAGGGTTTCACGGGTCTGAACAGCCATGCATGGAAGCTCCCACCCCCAACTCTGCAATCGCAAAGCAAGGGCTGAAAGCTCCCTGCTGCAGAGGGACACTGTCCTCGCATGGGCTCCAGCAGCGAAGCCCACTCCAGCAAAATGCAGTTCCCAGGGGCAGGGAGCAATCTCCTGGCCCCTGATGCTCAACTAACCAGGAGGAAATTTGCTCTCTACGCTTGCCATATTGAGCAGTAATTACTCAATAGTTAATTTGCTATTTGCATTTGCAGGTAGCAAATTAATGGCCAAGTAGAGGAAATTACTGTGCAGTAAGGGTCAGCATGTGTAGATGGTGATTCTTACTATGCAGTAATTAATTTTACTGTGCAGTAAAGCATCTCATGTAGATGTGTCCAGTTATGCCAAAGATGCACATATGAAAATATCCTCACTCATGCATCACCCTATATGGAACTGCACCTACAAAGATCTAAAATCAAAGTGAAAAGAACCTTACGTGGAGGATCAGAACCTTTTGGGAACCTGGGACACTTAATGTCCATTAAAGTTAATAGGTATTGAGCATCCAACTATTGCACAGCTTTGAAATCTGAGTTCATTCATAATCCTATCCCCTAACCCAAAAATCTTACATTTGTTCAAGCAAACTAACCACCCTTATTGTAAACCAACCCTTACGTATTTCACAGGTACAAAAACGGATATCAGGTTATAAGGTTACCTGTCTTCATCTTTGTAGCCTTACCGTTGTGGGGTTGAATAGTCATAAGTCATGAGACTGAAACTGTCCACTACTGGGGCCAATTGATCAAATTCTTTTTTTGTGAACATCCCCAACTGGTTACTCCTTTAAAAACAAATGAGACAGAAATGACACACTTTAACTTTCTCTCTTTCCGATTTGAAGAATTTAATTCAGTTTGTTTCATCACATAAAAATTACAAACTTCCATTTTGAAATTACGTTGAGACAACTTGGTGAAGTTTGCAGAATAAATGTTTGTCTCTCGTGTCATAGATCTCAAGGGCCTATAGTCACCTTAACAACTGCCTCCGGTCTCCTCCTGTCTTGTGCAATCTCTCTCCACTTTGTCACATCTTTGTCTATCTGTTCCGGATCATATTTCTGTTACATTCCTATCATTACCTTGCTCTGCCTTGAGGGCTAATACTTTACACCTCAGGTTCCAAAAACGTCAGTTCTCACAATACGCCAAAGGTATTTCCACTTCGATATAGTGGAATGGTTTGCATGTCTCTGTCAAGAGTTATGTTGGCAGTATCATGGCATAGCTACCAACAGGATCACCCGTGCCAAACAGGTTGAGGGGTAGAGACCAAATTAAGAGGAATACCCTAGTTCTCCAAGTTCAGGGTTCAACCTCAACTAGTAAAAAAGCCAGAGGTCAACCTCAACTAGTAAAAAAAAGCCAAAAAACCAAAATGAAAATAAATGCTTATGTAAATATACTGAATACTGATGTATTGCCCATGGGAATGTTGCAAACAATCAATCAGTCTCAAACAGCAGGAATCCACAAAAATAAAAAAAATATTCTGACCTACTGTGGTTTTTGCAAGTTCTTTGCCACAGAAGAATTGCTCTATTGCCGTATTTACTCATATACAAGATGAGCCCCCTGCCTAACCTCCTCCCCCCAGTCAGCATGGGGGGAAAGCCATCATCTTATAATTGCATACAAGACAACCTCATTAAATACCTTGTCTATCACTCAATTGCTGCCCAAAGCAGCATGTGCTCAGTAATTCAAACCAAGTATCAAGCTGAATAAATACAGCCAACACTGGACGTGACTATAAAAAAAAACCATGGCCCATATTTGGGTAAACATACTGGAGTGAGTGAGTGAATCCCATAAAAGCGCAGTTACTTCCTCAGGATGGAACATGTGCCATGTCTGGAGGGACTGTAATACCAGGCCAGCACTTGCAGAGGCCAGAGCGAGCTCTGACACCCTCCCCTGATGCTAAAAATGCTGATGTGAACCTTTTGTTTATTTCTTTGCTTGACCCTTAGAAAACAAACAAAAAAACTCCCCACATAGGCAAGTGTTACCTCCACAGGAAACTGGCACCAGACTTAAAATTACTGCAATACTAGGGCAGCCAGAGGCAACCCTGACACCCTCCCTGTGGTGCTAAAATGCTGCTACATTTGATCTTAGCCAAAAGCTGAGATACTGATGGGAACGTATCACAAGGATAGATTAGTGCAGCCCATCTGAATGAGATAAATGACAGTGCCCAACATGCTCAGTCCCCCTCAGTGCCAACTCTTTTCCAAGTCATAGTGAGCCACTACATGGCATATATTTTTACTTCCTCTTCACTCCAGCAGCGCCTTTCTTCCCTATTTCCAAGTTTTCCTATTTCTTCATCAGCCTTAAATGTCTTGCAAACACCAGCAAGCAGGTCCCCAAAAACAGTTGACTCAGAATTTCTCTGTTGCCCCCTCTGTTACATATGATTAGTGTGGTCCTAGCCTCCATGAGGTAGAACTCAACCAAGTTGCACTATGCCTCATATGCATATAAACGTTTGGAGCATCCCAGGACTTGTGACAAGAACACTCTGTTCCAGTCATGAATGGGAGGCTAATTAGCACATGAAGCCTTTGAGGGTAGGGGGAGGGGAGGCTGGATCTGGAGTGTACACATGTTCTGAGAAGTGCTGAGCTGTGAGGTCACCATGGCTTGAAATGCTGTTGACCCAGATGGGGCCCAGCCCAATGTAATATATAATAAATCATGAGCCTTTTGGTTTTGGACTAATATAATGGATAAGTGTATATGCTATATACGTAGGTACAGAAGCTTAAAAGTGTGTGTATGGAGTACCTGTGCTAAAACTTGCAATAGTTTCTAAAAAAAGGTAATATGCATCAATTCTGAACGAATTAAGTCTGTGGGTACTATATGGAAATTACTACAGGGCTGCTTATTTCAAGATCAGTGTTTTTAAATTTGCTCCTTATTTCCATGTTCTCAGACAAAGCAGGGTCTAATGTAAGGATGGGGGAAGAGGCTGCAGGGGAAAGAAGTTGTGGGGCAGAGGGCAAGGGGACTATTTGACCCCCCCAGACTTATCTTTCTGCTGCAGCAGTGGGAGGGGGACAAATTCAAGGCAAGCCTCCAATAATTAAATTCTATACCTGGAAAATTGTAACAAATTTATAAAGTTTTCATATGCATAATCTAATTATTGGGGAGCTATTTTATATTCAGGGTGGTCTTACATTAGAGAAAATGCAGGTTTTTTTTAAACAGTCAAGAAACAAGTGAAGCCTAAGAGCTGGCATTTTTCTGAGTAGGGCCTCATGTCTAACAAGGTTGAGAACTGCTGGCCTAGAGAGGTTTAGATCAAAGCCTACTATCATGGCAACCTTTAAATAGTTTACCTTATCTGTTCATCTACATAATTCCACTCAATTTTCAGGGAATATGACTATATTAGGCACATAACTTCTTCCCACCAGTTATGCATCTGTTGGTCAGGCCAGGTGTTTCCAATTTACATCTAAGATGCATTTATAATGCTTCCAAATATATGAACCTCTAATCCAATATCCTTACCTATCAGTTATTGAAGGGAGATATAGATTTCCTCTTATTCTATTTATACCAGTCTCTTTCCAGTTAATGTCTTCCCTCTCTGAAACATAAGCCAAATTTGACTGTGAATGGAATTCAACTCATATACACCTCACACCCTCTTATCTGACCGATGTGCACAGACACCTCAAATGGTGATTCTCAGAGGTTACCTTCCTTCCAGCCAGGCATCAGTTCTTTGAGGTGTGAATAGCCTTTGATTGTCCAGACACCTAATCGGCAATTACTCGACTAGCT